TACGTACCAGTGTCACAATAGGTTCCCGTATATCCTGGACTGCACGTGCAAGTGTAGGAATTTAAACCGTCATTGCATGTTGCTCCATTTTGACACGCGTTGCTTGTACAGTCATCAGTATCTATTGTTCATAAAGCAAAAAAATATATGTGCAAACATGCAAAAATATATGAGCACATCATACGAAAATATATGTGCACATCATGCGGACACATTTATGCGCAACATGCAAAAATATATGAGCACATCATGCGAAAATATATGTGCGCAACATGCGAAAATATATGAGCACAATATAAGTATTACATTCATGAGGGACTACTTTATAAATGGGACTTAGGAAAGGAAAGTGGAAGTGAGTGTTAATTCAAACTATTGCCCCAGATATGAAATAATAATTCAATTTTACTTAAAACATAAAAACGCATATAAATTATAAACCATGATAAAATAACAGAGTAGTACTCTGGTAATCTTGTCACAGAACAAGAGCATCTTTAAAGCGAATCGGAACTGTATTATTTTGCTATGTAAGTAAAAATTGTGCCTGTTTAATGAAAAAGTCACCCGAAAAAAAGGTAGTTACTTATGTCACAATGATCCCCTGTATATCCAATGACACATTCACATGTGTATGTATTTACTCCGTCAATACACGTTGCTCCATTGTGACATGGGTTCTGGCTACAGGAATCTATATCTTTAGATACGGAAAAAAAGATAAGAAAACTGTTTCATTATAAACAATTTAAGTGCATTTATTGTTAATAAAATAACGACCATAGCCATATTGGACTAGCTAAGGTCAGACAAGCGGGCATATGATGTGCACTGTTTCCAGGAACTGTCGGCTGTTCAAGTTTTCAATTTTGATGTTGAACCCCTTACATTACAAGTGAGATATTCCAAATTCATAGAATAGTAAGTGTCCACTCTAAAAATGCAGCAGTGTAAGGGCGTGACCAATGGTTAATGCATCAGACTAGTATTCTAAGAATTGCTGGTCGCTGGGTTCAAATTCCGTCAGGGGCAAGCCATTGTTGTCTTGATCAAGAAACTTCACACTCATTCCTTAGTACTGGTTGGTTCCAGGAATGGAATCGAGAGTTTTTCAATAAGCCTATAGCTTCCAACACAATTAAACTAAAATAAATTAGTGTTATGTAATAAGGTTAAAATATTATAATAAATAATCGATATGTTCACCTATTTCACATAAAGTTCCGGTGTATCCAGGTACGCATGAACACATGTAAGAATTAACTCCATCAACACATGTGGCCTCGTTCTGACATTGGTTTGGACTGCAATCGTCTATATCTATAAATATACACAAATTATCTCCATAGAAACGCCTATAGGAAACCAGAAACATGTGGAATCCGGTACTTCCTTCTCTTTGAATTTTTGCATGATTCAAAAACTAAATCCAAAAAGAAAACAATAAAATCATATGCATACTGAAAATGGAAATTATTAGGATAAAGGCCACCTTTTCAACAGCAAAAAATCATAACCATGTGATATCACATTAAGTATTCATTCAGTACATACATTAATGTTATTACCTATATATTGCTCTGTGACTCTTAATTTTTAACAACTCATACGGAGTTAGAATCTCGAGCATGAAATCTCAACGCTAAGATCTGTTGAGATTTTTATGTACGTAACTGAACAGAAAACATTATTGTCAAGACCTATTCAGTTCTATTCTGATAACCAATATTTTCCCAGTTCTTACCGAACAATAACCAATATTTTCCTAATTCATACCAAACAAACATATACTGTCTATAAACAACATTATGTTGAAAGAATATTCTTGAAAAGGGAAAATTCTTCAATAAATGATAAAATAGGTGAAGAATGCAAACATGGCGTGATTGTGTCCGTCCATTTAAAAAAATCACGGTGAGGACATCATTCAAATCTCGCGGATAATCGCCGTGAAATCTCCGAAAAAGTTTTTTTTTATTATACATGTAGAATATAAAAAATGAGACGTATGGCAAACATTTATAAAAATTAAACTTTCATTTGTTGTTTCTCACTGTGGGCATTAATTTATTAACTTGATGAGTTTTTATTCCATTATAAAACTATCGTGCTCTACGGTGACCCATTTGGACGATCGCGACACACACATAACAGGAAACAATGAAAACACGATCATACAATGGTGAAGTCGAAAATACGATGATAAAGAGTGGAAAGTACGATGGTTAAAACTCAATATAATTTTGTGTTTTCACATGTACTTTCGAGATATAGGTGTGTGTCCTCTAATGGGTCACTGTATTAAACACTTTTAACTATTACCTTGCTGAAAAAGAAAGTGATAATTATACTTTGCAACCAGTGTCACATCTGCACATTCGGCTAGGTACATGCTGATGGCTGAATAACTTTTCCCGCAAAGTTTTATAATGGACAGTTCGGTAAAATTAAAGCTTGAAAAAAAAAAGAGAAGATTTTTTTTACAGGAATTCAGTTTTCAGCCTTATAATCATAAATTGATACAGTGGAATAAATAATGTATATGCAAGTGAAACTGACCTCAACTAAATGATGTATAATAAAGAGGGTTTTATACATCACAAATATTATAAAATTTACTTGTTTCACACATTGTCCCGGTATATCCCAGTAAACACGTGCAGGTGTAGGTAAGATGTTCATCATGGCAAGTTGCTCCGTTCTGACAAGGGTTTGGACTACATTCGTCAGTGCCTACAAGTTTGAACAATTAGAAAAACAAACAAAAAACAACAACACAAATTAATTCTTTGTTTAAAAAATATACAAGACAAAGGGACTCCACTGAGGATTTTTTTATATGACGGGACTGGAAATGATTTTTCGAACTTTATGTTCCATTTCATGTAGGTTTAAATCAATTACTTCTGAGCATAATTCAGATCATTTGCTCACTTCATTCTTCAAGAATAATTATTCTAATTGTAATAAAAAGCAAAATTGAAATCTTAATGTCCTTTAAAGGCTCTTACATTTGAACATTTTTTGTTAATTGATGGCAAGATGTATAAATCATTTTAACGTTGAAGGAAAAACTCAACTTTTTTAACTAATATGATTATTTTTTTTAAAAAGATAAAACAAACAATATTACCTAGTTCACAATTTGTCCCAGTATATCCAGGGCTGCATGTGCAAGTGTATGTATTAACACCGTCATTACACGTGCCGCCGTTCTGACAGGGATTCGGGCTGCATTCATCTATTTCTGTAGGACAAAAGAACAGGGTTTTTTTATCAAACATTGCCGTACCATGTACATGTACAAACAAGCTTTGTTTATTTTTCAGCCATAGTCTATTTGTTTTAACCTTTACTTCCGTTATATTCAGGTACTATTTGCCATCCCCTTTCCGGTATATACCGGACATATAATTTGCATTGCATGCTATATAGTTGCTACATATTAGAAATTTGATTTAAGTTTAAATTAAACGTTGAATTCTGGTTTACAGATGAGTGTCTTATTCTATAGTTACGTTTTATATGGTTTCGTGTAATAAAAAAAATCAATCCTATTTCATTGCCATGCCTTTATGATCTTTGAATAATGGCCATACGTTGTTTTCATACATTTGTCAGCACATTTTAGAAAGAATTAAAATAATACTTATATTGGTAATATGATGCTGCTTATATTAATAATCTGACGCTCTTATTTCTAACATGATGCTAATAATGGTGATATGATGACCATTATGGTGACATGATTCTTATATTGCTGATATAATGCTAATGCTTTGTGATGTGATGCTAGCATTGGAGATATGATGCTTACTTTGATAAAATGATGCTCATAAATGTGACATAATGCTAATATTGGTGATATGATGTTTGTATTTGTGACATGATGCTTATAGTACTGATATGATGCTGATATTGGTGATATTATGCTCCTTTCGGCAATAACAAAGCATCACAATGCTAATGTCAGCCATATAGATTTAAATATATTTAGATATGATGCTTATACTTATTAAATAATGCTAACACCCATGAATTAAATGTTAATATTTTGGTGACATGATGTTTATATTGGTGACATGATGTTAATATTGGTGATATGACACTCATTCATTTACTCACCAGTATCACAGTTTATACCAGTATATCCTGGACATATGCAGATGTATGAATTGCCTACATTGAAACAAGCACCGTTCACACAAGGATTCTGCTGGCACGCTGAAGCTCCCGTCACTATATGTGGTACAAAAGTTTCCAAAATTAGGATTTGCATAATCTTTAATGGGTGTGTTATGTTAATTTAAACGATTAAATCACTCTTAATAAAAGCTATTCTAAATGCAAGATTCTAATGATGAAATCATATTTTTTAAACTGTTATTGTGTTTTTCATTTAAATTATCAATTATTAGTAGTACTAGAGTATTCATTATTATTTTTTTTTTAAAGTCTGCCCTTCCTTTTTGTTTATCGGTTTAATGTAAGTCCTTATTTTGATACAAAAATATTGTTAACTTTAATCATGAAACAGTAATGTTGTTTTTTTTCTATACCCTTAGTCTGCAGGAACCGAAAAGAAAAAGATAAGCGTTAATGTTAACAATGTGGTGTTAGTAGTTTTCACTTCAGATCATGCCAATTGGCCACAATGAATTAACCAGAGCACTGTTCAGCCACAGCAACATTTCTGGGAGGCTGTCAAGCATTGAATCAGTTCTAGTTACCTTCACTTTGATCATAGAGAGGATTTCATGATCAATTACAACGAAAGTGACCTGCATCGTTTGACTGTTCAAATTTCAAGGTTGGGTAAACTTTAATTGGACTGTTCCAATTTTAATGTTTGCGAAATCCATCATATAAATTCAGCAGGCAAAGGATGATAAATTAAGCAAATATGTTAAATAACTTACAGATCTGACAATTTCGTCCAGCGTATCCATACAGGCACGAGCAGGTATATGTGTAACCACGATCTGTGCATATTCCACCATTTAGACAGGGGTTTGGACTACAATCATCAATTTCTAATGGAAAGAAAAAACAAAACATATTCTCATTAAATAAAGGAATCTTCTTTTAGGTATCTACCAGGGGCGTTGTTTTTACTAAAATTATGTTTGGGTTGATTTATAGGGGGTCTGGAGGCATGAACAGACAGGATAATTTTTTTTGCTTTGGATTATCAGAATGTGTTTTGATTTTTATTTATTGCAATAAAAGTTTTTTAATTTTTTCACTTGACTAACATTTTAGACCATGGCCTACAACCCTGTCTTCAGATCACTGCTGGAACGAGCGTGGATTTATGATATTGACTTTTAGGAAGATATACGACAATCTACGTATCTAGAAGGGGTTATCTTGTATATCAAGCCTCCGGGCTCAGCAATCGTGTGTTTTAACACTACTTGTGTCTCAACCACGCTCCTCGTATGACACAAAAGCTTCTAAATTCTAAGCCAACTCGAGAATGGATGGTTCAAATAAGTTTTAATTTCTTTAAAATTTAGCTAAGATATATAGCTATATAAGAGCACTTTTGAGAAAGCAAAAGTATATTTTCATATTTGACATTCGTAAAACAATTATACCTTAATAACGAGAAAATTATCTTGTTATTAAAAGTTTTGTTGTTTTTAATACGATTTAGTAAAGTGGTCCTCACTTAAATGGAACTCAGATACTGTGAACATTCGGTTATAACAAACCATTCTTCTAGGTCTTGATTTTTCTCCCTCTTTATATAAAAGACTGTGTTCAATGCGTACTCGCTAATAGAATAAACCTGGTTATAAAACGCTATATATAAAAGTCCCAAACAAACATATATACCACTGTTATTCGAGAAAAAATATGTTCACAGAATATATATTTAATTAAGAGATATGTCTACAAAAACAGAAAATAGAGAAAATTTGAATGGCCTACCTGTGTCACAAACGGACCCTGTATATCCTGGCCTACATTCACAGTAAAATGACAAGTCAATACTGTAACAATTTCCATTCTCACAGATGTTCTGACTGCATGCACTTTGTGACAACACTGTATTGTAAAAAAAATATTGTATAGTGCTGACATGAATATTATCTTTAGAGATAGAATATTATAATATGTTTTGATTAGATAACAAACACAAGTTTTAAAATAGAAGGAAAGGTTTATATACAAACCAAAATCCATCGTCAGATATCCACGGTTGATTAACATATTACATAGCATGATGTTACGGTACGGCCATGGATATCCGTCGATGACCAACATCTTATATATCTAACATATATCACATTACCTTCTTTTGTTATTTTATTATACATTTGTTTATCGCACGTTTGCTGATTCTGAACATTTTGGCTTTGGTTGTGGTATTTCTCTTATTTTTCTTCTTTTTTTTTTTTAAATAAATGATCTTTATATAAACAATGTCAATTATTTTGCATCGATGCCTATAATTGTATTGATATGTATGTAAATTAAACACAGCTTTTTATGAATAGTTTTTAGTCGTAACTAAATATGGAAGGAAATTACTGGACGCTAACTCTGCTTTGTTACCGAAACTATTGCTTGGTACCTAGTTTATTGTTTGATGACCTGTCTATTGCTTGGTACCCTGCTTATTGTTTGGCATCCTATACATTGCTTAGTACCCTATTTACTGTTTGGTACCCAAACTATACCTTGGTACCCTGTTTATTGCCTGTTTATTTGTAATATTTCTATTAATGGTACCTTACTGATTATTTGGTACCCTAATTATTGCTTGGTTCTCTGTATATTGTTCTGTACCCTTTATTAATTGGTACCCTATCTATTGCTTGGCATACTATCTTTTTCTTAGCACCATATTTATTGCATGGTACTTTGTATATTGTTGTGTATATATACCCTTATTATTAATTAGTTCCCTATTTACTGCTTGGTACCCTATTAATTGCTTGGTATCTTATCTATTGCTATAAAAACCTTTTCTATTGCTGAGTACACCATCTATTGATTGGTACGTTATTTATTGCTTGGTACCCATTCAATTGCTAAGTAACACTATTGCTTGGTACCCTATTTATTGCTTGGTAACATATTTATTGCTTGGTACCCTATCTATTGATATAAAAGCCATTTCTATTGCTTAGTACACTGTCTATTGATTAGTATGCTATTTATTGCTTGGTACCCATTCAATTGCTAAGTAACACTAACTATTGATTGGTACCATATTTATTGCTTGGTACCCTACCTATTGCTAGATACCTTTTCTAGACTTCATACACTAATCTAGTATTTGTTACAATATCATCTATTGCTTGAGTGCATGTTACGGAACATTTCGTACCTGTTCCACAGGAAGATCCAGTGTATCCGTTACTGCATGCGCATGCGTAGGAATTAATGCCATCAATACATATTGCTCCATGTTGACACGGGTTCGGACTGCACTCGTCTATTTCTAAAGATATATGAAAAAATAAATAAGTTTTTTTTACAGAAAAAAGTCTATTGAGACAAATGGGGTTTTCAAATGTTTTGCTTATAGTAACATTAGCAAATGAAGTCACCTACTTCTTTAACATTTAGCATTGAATCTTTGGCTCAGTTTTTGTTGTTGTTTTTTATTTTGGCAATACGCCAAATGACACGATTCATATCCAACTGGAATTGTATCTAATACAATTGTATGAACATACATTTAAATTAATGTTAAAAATCATAATGGACCAGTATTAGAAATTTATGATCAATAACTTTTTAGAAATGGTGCAATTAAAATTTTGTCATTGTTTTTTTATTTTTGTACTAACTATAAAAGTTTTCTGTAGATTCTTGTGCAGTTGTTGCATACTGGGCTAAACTGCTTGACAACCGAGCTGTCTTTTGTATGTTCCAGAAATCAAATTATATTTTATTTCTTATTATAACTATTATTTAAGCACTCTAAATGTATGGCTGCTAATGAAACTAAAATATTATGATGGTTTTGTGGGATAAGTGAATCTTACACAAAAGACCCGAATAGTATTCGGAAGTTTACCTGTTTCACAGAATGTTCCGGTGTATCCCGGTACGCACACACATTGGAAAGAATTACCAATATACTGACAGTATCCACCATTTTGACAAAGTACTTGTTGGCAGGAAGTTTGAGGTATGACTGTATTGTAAAGTAATAAAACTACAGATTACTAAATTATATGTATTATACTGTTATATACTATATTAGTATTACAGCTTCGTGATGAACGGCTGAGGTAAAGTATTCAATTTACGTTATACCTTATATATTAACACTTACGTATGCTATAGTTACATATATACAGTCAAAACTGCAAACAAAGACCCTCCAAAGGTGAGACCGAACATGACCTTTATGGACAAGTGTACCTAGACATAGTCTACCTTTCTTTCCAGTTTAAGTAAAGAGACTGAAAACCTTTATAGAAAATTATCATACGTTTAGGTGAAGGAAAGTAAACAATAACAACTTAGTCTTTACAAATTTCTTAAATTTTACACAATCACTGGACTGAGAGGACGTCAGCTGAATTAACCCTGAGCACTTTGATTCAGAGTTATTTGCCCTTGCGTAAAGCAAATTTTCAGTCAAGAGCAGATATCTCAAAAACAATCTTGGTGACCTACACTTTCCCATTTTTAAAATGTTTCTGTTATATTCAAAGATCATGCAAAGTATAATACAGTTTTAATTCAGTCTGTATGTAACTACAGCACACGCCTTTATTCTAATGTTTTTTGTAAAGGATTTCCAGTTGGAACATTCCATTCAAAGTTTAAGGAATTTGATTATCAAAATTTACTAACATTTAAGAGCCTGGTCAGACTGCATTGGTGTCCACCTTAGTCTGGCTTTATACTCATGGCAAATGCTTATCACTTTTGGTTATTAATGTTATTTGTATATATTCAGCAAGATCAGGCAATTTGATGCATTCAAAAACTTAACATTTCAACAATGATTCAGTCAACTTTAAAATAAGTAAATCAATTGGAACTGAACAGCATGAAATCTAATGGCTGAAAATAAAATAACTTATCTTTAGTCTACATTTTTTTTTACCTGTTGCACAGTTGGTCCCAGTAAAGCCTGCACTACAAATGCAACTATAGGAATTTACGCCGTCAACACAAGTCGCTCCATTCTGACACTGGTTTGGAATACACTCGTTGGTTTCTTACCATAGATCAAAAAACATACTTTTAATCATATGATCAAATAGTTGTGTTGTTTTAATCATATGAAATAATAGTTATGGTGTTTTAACCATTTAAAGGAATAGTTGTGTTAAGCATATGATGGAATAGCCGTGTTGTTTTAATTATATGATGGACAAGACTTGAAGTTGTGTTGTTTCATGCACATGGTAGAATAGCTGTGTTGTTTTAGCTATATTATGAACAAGTTGTGTTGTTTTCACCACATGATGGACTAATTGTGTTGTTTTCACCACATGGTGAAATAATTATGTTGTTGTTATAATTGTATGGTGGAATAGTTGTGTTGTTTTACACACATGGTGAAATAATTGTCTCCTTTAATTTATAAAATTGATTAGTTGTGTTAAACATATGATGAAATAGTTGTGCTGAAGTAAGCATACCGTGGTAAGTTCTGTTGTTTTAAGCATATCATTGTTATGTGCATATCAGAATTAAAATTAAGACAAATTATGTTCAATAATACACTGACAAAAACATCATATAAATCACTCTTATTTATATCAGAATCACTAGTAATTTACTATATAAACATACCTATTTCACAATTTGTTCCTGTAAAACCTGGTTGACATGTACACACATACTGGAAACTACCAACATCATAGCATTGTCCACCATTCTGACATGGGCTTTGACTGCAGACACTTTGGGCTATAACTGTATTGCAAAATAATAAAACCAGGTTAAGGTTGTCTTACTGTAATGCTTTGCCACCAAATTCTAACTTTGGCCAATATCATAATAATTCAGCCATTTCCGGAACGTTATTTTTCAGTATGCAATATTTTTTCTTAACCGTTATTAACCAGAACTTAGTACATAGCGTTAAAGGGTGAGTGACTGGAAATAATCTAATGCCCAAGATTTTGAAAATATAATGTTCCGGAAATAATTGATTTGCTACGAAATTGGCTAATATTTTCATTTTTTGGCGGGACAGCATTACAGTTAGACTACCATAAAACAGCAAAATATATTCAGAATGAAGGCAATTCAACTAAACTTGTAAGGGAAAAAAAATTGAGTTGTGCCACCCTCACACTTCTGGATGAAACAGACTAATGGACCATATAATTATACATTGAGCTGTTGTAATTGTACAGCAAAACTGTCAAATTACATCATTTTTTCTAAAATTCAAATTCATTTTTATTTATTTTATATTATATTTTTTTCATAAGAAAAAATATAATTAACCGTAAGTAAGAAATAAGGGTACTGACTTTTTTAAAAATCATATTTACAGGGCTCATCCTGGGGGGAAACTTTAGGGAAAAGTGACTTCCTCGCGAAAAATAGGGAGAAGGGAAACAGCCCAATGTGTATGCATTAACATGCATGGCTATACATCCTTAACTATAATATAAACACAAACTATTTATCAGCTATTTATAAGCTTTCTCTACATATTTGTTTATATATTTTTCATGTAGATTTATTGATAATAATGTGTAAGAAAAAATTTTATGAATAAATTAATTTCATAATTTTACTTTCCTCACTTTTAATAGAAGATAAAGTTTCAAACAAAATCTGCCTGTACAGAAAATTCTTATATAACCTTGCATGTTGTAATGTCATATTTATGTGCATATAGTAAATTTTACAGGTGAAGCAAATATGTTTGACCACACTCTTTATGCAATGCTGTACTGTTACAATTCAGTACAAATCGTAAAAACCCATCATTATAGTTTAAATCAGTTTTAATTTAATTCATATTCATATACCTGCAACTTTGAAAGAAGCCGGAAGGACATGACTGACTTACCTGTCTCACAAAAAGTACCAGTATAACCAGTTACGCAGACGCAGGTGTATGAGTTGAAACCATCAACACATGCGGCTCCGTTCTGACAATTGTTAGAATCACACTCATTGACATCTGCATGTTGATAGATGACATAATAATAAGATTAAATAAAACTTCAATACAATAAGTACATGTACATACAAATGTAATTTAAGAAATAATAGATCCCAAACAGTGATTTTATCGCTCAATAAAATCACTGTTTAGAGTTCGGAATAGAGGAATTATAACACGAGGGCGTCAAATTTAACTATTGGAGATTATCTGAATTGCAGTGATTTGATTGGCTACGCTCAAATCATGTTGCAAAGAAAATGTGGACCACTGTGTAGGAGCTTTGATGAATGCAGTGTTAAGTGCCATTTTGAAAATGGGAAGCACTCACTTTGAATAAAGGATGTGCACATTCGTAAATTACAGACAAGGTTATAAGTGATAATTTAACAGTTACTCTCATGAATGTAAAGAAATAAAAGTTGAATACTTTGACCTACTATTTCAGGTAATATATAATAACATAATCCAGAAAATTTCACGAAATATATTAATTCTGTACAGAGAAATCACTTTCATTTTATCTATCTTATCTACTCCTTTCCAAAAAGACGAGTCTTTTTCTCACAAGAATGGTGGACTTTTTTTTTTGACGTTCAAACAAAAACGTGTTCGGTCAAATGTAAAGGAGCTCGGCATAAGTCATTCCTCACTGTTTTTTTATTGGACATTAAATGAACCATCTTCAAAGCAATAAAAAAATACCAGCCTCGCTTTCAATCCATCTTATAAATACATTGATGTTATAAATTCTGAAAAACAAATTCAAATATTACCTAGCTCACAATTATAGCCGCCATAACCTGGGTTACATAAACATGTGTAGAAGTTACCAACGTCATAACACATCCCTCCGTTTTGGCAAGGCCCTGACTGACAGGAACTTGTTGGTAGAACTTATGAAAACGACACAATTAACAATTATTAGTCACTTGGCAAATTAAATGATAATACCTTCTACTATACATTATAACTCAGCTTTATATTTGTAATAAATAAATATGTGTAATATACGAACGAATTAAACCACTGTTTTTTTCATGCATATTATTTGCATTTGCGCATTTAAAGTTACCCCAAAATTTCTAAGCATTTTAAAGAGGTTTCATTTCTTATGCATGTTATATTGTTTTTATCAACACAAGTATTGGGAAGTAGTAGTAGTAGTGGTAGTGTGGTCGTCATCATAATAATAATAATAATGATAATAATAATAATAATAATAATAATAATCATAATAATGAAATAATAATAATCAAAACGATGAACCTGTTTCACATAAAGTTCCTGTGTATCCGGGTCTACAGGAGCAAATAAATGAAGTGAGGTTCACGTCATAACAATGTCCACCATTTTGACACGGGCTTTGACTGCAGGCACTTTGTGGTAGCACTGTTTAGTAAAATCAAGCAATAAAAGTTTAATATTTGCAGAATGACAATGAAGTCAGTTAATGTTATCAAAAGCAATATACTGAACAACAATCATATTCAATTTTTGTTTTGAACAAATATAGGTGGGTCCGTGGCCGTGTGGTTTAAGGTCGTTGATTCCAAACCCCTAGCATCTCATCGCTGTGGCTGTAGATTTGAGTCGCGCCAGCGTCTTTGGGTTCTTTCATGTGAGAAAGCTATCCAGCTCACTTACGGAATGCCCTTGGTTTTACTCAGGCACTCGTTTGTGCTTGAAATTATGCACAAAGGGACACCTGAGGTCTTCCTCCTCCAGTAAAGCTAGAATCTCGCCATGAGACCTATACTGTATTGGCGCCACATAAAACCAACCAAAAAAGGAACTACATAAAAATATTGCTTTTTTGTTGTTGTTGCTTTACAGGTACATGACAAAGGGCATGTTTGTGTAGAAGTATTTGTTTGCTTCAAAATTTAGAGGTTTTTACAGAGAAATTCAACACTTGAATTCTTAATTACCGAGAATATTTCTATACAAAATTTTTTGTTATAATTATTCTACCTGTTCCACAGTTGGTTCCAGTAAATCCTTGACTGCATGTGCAGCTGTAGGAATTTACACCATCAATACATGTTGCTCCATTTTGACACGGGTTTGGATTGCACTCGTCGGTTTCTTATCATGTAAAAAATATAGGCATGTTCATGTTGAAACTATTAATGAAAACATTGTGTATTTCATGGCATTAACAGATAGAGCAATTGATTAAAGATCAAAGGTCACCAAAATGACAATGAAATAAGTTTTATCCATAAACATAAGAATTCAGTCAATTTATACACATTTTGTCTCAGTTCTTAGAAAGCTATATCAATATCTACAGAATAAAAAACAAATCTGAATAAAAAATGAAAACGTTGTAGTTACTCAAGCAAGTGTATGTTTCTTGTTACTAAGCACTTATTTTAATTACTGCGTCTTTAACTATTTCTCGTTTAATGATATTGAAACTAATAGTTTAAAAACAGAAGTCAATTTTGACCAAGAGCAATAAAGCGTTTTGATTACCTTGAGCTTCCCACATTATAACCGAATACAGAACGTGACGATGTTGGCCGAATGTGTTAGAGTTATTTATAGATTGTATAAGTTTATGTAAAATTTGATTACCTTGTTCACAATAGTTGCCAGTGTATCCCAGTAAACAAATGCAGACGAACGAATTCCCGATACCGTGACAGTACCCACCATTATGACATGGATTCTGTTGACAGACATGTTGTCCTAGCACTAAGTATATTGAAATATAATGAAAATAAGAAAGTCATAAGTGTTTGAAATCAGTACTAAATATACATGACAAGTACAAGCCAATAGGGATGCAGAAACCAACAATCAGTCCAGCTTTATGTAACACCAAGCCAATTTGACAACTTCTCAGCTCTCATATACAGAAATACTTCGGGTACTGAAGCTTCTTTGCAAATTACTTTTTTTTTCAGGCAAGGGAGATGGGGAGATAGTGCCCGGGTGGTCATTGGCAAATTATTTCACACCAGCAACTTAATTTACAAAAGGAATCATTTTGTAAAGCAAATCATTCTTATCACAACTGTGATCAGTTACATGAATATAGTATTACAGATCTATCTACAAAGTTAAAAGTATATTTGCTGTAACTTATATAAGATCTATATAGTTACAATCAGTATCCCTGGCAAATTTTGTGGGGTTAACAAAGAAAATGTGTAGAATAAGGAATATTACCTATTCCACAGTTGGGTCCAGTGTAACCTGGTCTACACAAGCATGTGTAAGAATTCATACCGTCAACACAAGTTCCTCCATTCTTACACGGGTTTGGACTGCACTCATCAGTTTCTTATCATAAATTAATAACAGCAAATGTTAAAGTGACAGTTTGCTCATTTTTTCATAGTCAATTTCAGTTGAATTGATATATTTAAAAAGATTGACTATTATAATGGTGATTGACCAATAGTTGATCTTGGAAAATGTTTATGATAAAATATATAAAAAATATAAAAAGTCTGCCACACCCTTTTATAAATTGAAGGTTACAGGTACCTATATCAAGCGGATATCTACAGAAATTTCCTTAGGCCACATTAAATAATTATCGTTCATGTGAAGTAAATTGTAAAATTAAAAGGAATTATGGCAAAATGTAAACTTATTTTGACTTTTACCCATTCACTCACTATAAACCATTTGATGAACTTAATGTCACTTTAACAACACCTTTATGGTACATAGCACTTGTACAATAAAGGTATGTATTATATCGCATGATTTATTTTTTATATATTTATTTCTATATTTTACAATTGTTTACTTCTGCTTGATTTGACTCATAAGAAATGTCCATTCAAATCAATAACTGCTGTTTCTCTATATAGAATTAATGTTATTACATCATTAACATTGATTTGCAATGCAAATTACCACTTAATGTTGATAAGTAAAAAAATATAGCTTTCAATATAAATAAAACTTAATTATATAGTGAATTAGGAATTTTTTATATACTTATAAGTCAAATATTGAGAAATATTAATGAAATAAATTGCGTATTTTCATTTTCCGTTTTTACACTGTATTTTTTTTTCAATGCAGTGAAACATATTTTCCGTATTTTCACTGGTGTCTTGCAGGACTACTTTCTTCTTAATTCAGCCAATACACAAAATTAAGAAAGTGCATGTATATTATAATCAGAAAATTCAAGTTTTTCAGTATATATGTAGGACTTCAATTTATTTTCATCTTGTGATATGAAAATTATCATATTTTAATCATGGTTACTGCAACTTGTGAAATATTTATTTTCATACCACTCGCTGAAAATTAATCGTGTATTTATAGAAAAAAACTTGAATATCCTCTATATATTTTTGGTACATTTGCCATTAATAATATACATGTAGATTCATATTACCTTTCTCGCAGTAAATACCAGTATATCCGGTCGGGCAAATGCACGTGTAAGTGTTGACGCCATCAACACACATGGCTCCATTCTTACAACTGTTAGAATCACACTCGTCAATATCTGCATGTTCAAAATATAATGGATAAAAATCAAATAGATATCTTAATAACGACCATTGGGTTCATTTTATTTCATTTACTTCTTTATATACCTTTTCGCTTTTTAAGCAATTATATTTCTTATTGGCAAAGAATAACTTTCATATGTATAAAAGCAATAAATATAAATGTGATTGGTTCTTTCATTTTTATCTAATATATTTCACATGTAACTTACACACTTATATCTATATACAACTAAATGCTTATCTATTTCACAATCATATCCTGTAAAACGTTTATCTAAATTGACAACTAAATGCTTACCTATTTCACAATCATATCCTGTGAAACGTTTATCTAAATGGACAACTTAATGCTCACCTATTTCACAATCATATCTTGTTAAACGTTTATCTAAATTGACAACTAAATGCTTTCCTATTTCACAATCATATTCTGCAAAGCTTTTATCTAAATGTACAACTAAATGCTTCCTATTTCACAATCATATTCTGCAAAGCTTTTATCTAAATGGACAACTAAATGCTTCCTATTTCACAATCATATCTTGTTAAACGTTTATCTAAATGGACAACTAAATGCTTCCTATTTCACAATCATATCTTGTTAAACGTTTATCTAAATGTACAACTAAATGCTTCCTATTTCACAATCATATTCTGCAAAGCTTTTATCTAAATGTACAACTAAATGCTTCCTATTTCACAATCATATTCTGCAAAGCTTTTATCTAAATGGACAACTAAATGCTTCCTATTTCACAATCATATCTTGTTAAACGTTTATCTAAATGGACAACTAAATGCTTCCTATTTCACAATCATATCTTGTTAAACGTTTATCTAAATGGACAACTAAATGCTTTCCTATTTCACAATCATATCCTGTGAAGCGTTTATCTAAATAGACAACTAAATGCTTTCCTATTTCACAATCATATCCTGTGAAGCGTTTATCTAAATAGACAACTAAATACTTTCCTATTTCACAATCATATCCTGTGAAGCGTTTATCTAAATAGACAACTAAATGCTTTCCTATTTCACAATCATATCCTTTAAAACGTTTATCTAAATTGACAACTAAATGCTTACCTATTTCACAATCATATCCTGTGAAACGTTTATCTAAATTGACAACTAAATGCTTTCCTATTTCACAATCATATCCTGTGAAGCGTTTATCTAAATAGACAACTTAATGCTTCCTATTTCACAATCATATTCTGCAAAGCTTTTATCTAAATTGACAACCTTGTGAAACGTTTATCTAAATGGACAACCAAATGCTTACCTATTTCACAAATCATACCTTGTGAAACATTTATTTAAATGGACAATTTAATGCTTACCTATTTCACAATTACATCTTGTGAGACGTTTATCTAAATGTACAACTAAATGCTTACCTATTTCACAATCATATCCTGTAAAGCCAGTGTTACATGAACACATGTACGAATCATCAATGTCATAACACTGCCCTCCGTTCTTACATGGGAAAAATCGACAGGAACTCATTGATAAAACTGTATTATTTAATGAAATTACATGTATTAATTTTAACAAACTATTTTAGAAGACCTATATTACATTTCAGCTGTTCTCTAAACCGCCTTACGAATAGGGGTACGTTTCAGCTTTCAGATCTTTGTGTATATAAACATCATACTGAAACATTTTTCGCGGAAACAACATTTTAGACTAGTTGGCAAGATTGAATATTTGCAAATTAATACATCAGTTCTCTTAAATTAAATGTATATTATAGATTTATACTTAGCGAACTACTTCAGAAAAAAATCTTCAGTTCGCGAAATAAACAAAACTTAATATCTCGCTAAAATTTCTGATTTTACTGTTATCTATATTATTATGAACATTTTACGACAGCGTAAATTATGCATAAATGAAGAATTTACCTCTCCCACAATTCTTTCCAGTGTAGCCCGGACTACACAGGCAGTAGTAGTCGTTGACGTCATCAACACATACGGCGCCGTTCTTACAAGGGTTTGACATGCACTCGTCCAATTCTTATATGGGAAAGATAAAAAAGTTTAATCAAATTTTGTTTAAAAAGAAAAAAAAGGAATTGAGAAAAAATAATCAGGACATAATAATTCACAAGTTAAGCTAATTTTTAAAGTGTGGGTTTAATCTTTAAGGCTCTATGTTTTGAAATCTCAAAATAGATAACACTTTCATGCAAACTATGTATTTGCAATGAAAGGGATTGTGACCACATTTTATTACCTGCTAAGTAAATATATGTAATATCGGATCATGTATCACACACGTGCCAACAACATATATATAAATATTTTATGGTTTGTTGTTACGTCTGATGCTTTATACTTTCAATGTAATCATTTATATTATTGTATGGCAGACCTTCCATTATAGACCAATTCACATTAAATATATTAAGATAATCTCTTCTAGTTCACACCAGCGCTTTCCAATGTCTTACTTTTTTCACCATTTCTTTAGACAAAATGGCTCAGCAGTAATTCCTTTTTCATTAGTAATATAAATATAAAATATTTAAAGCTGCTTTATTAATTAATTAGTGAGAATAATAATTCCGTCACTTTAGTGCAGCAATGGGTAAACCCCTTATATGATGTTAACCCGTTACTGCACTGAGGTTGCAAATTACTGATTGTTGATAATTACTAGTATGCTACAGTGTTCCCTTTTTACGAGTGTGTGTAAGAATGCATTCATTTTGAGATGATTGTTATAATTATATTTTTAGAAGATAGCTGGTACATACCCGTCTCACATCTGGCTCCAGTATACCCGGGAGAACAAGAACATCTGAACTTATCCTTGAAACGACCGCTACAACTACCCCAGTGTCGACATGGGTTTGGGTTACATGAACTGATGACTGAAAATAAGTGAATAATCTAGACTCTATAGCAATTTGTCATTAGTTTTCGCGAGTTTTGATATAAACTGTTTTTGTTCTCTTTCTCTCCATTTTTGGTAAATTTATTTTCTAATGAAGGTAAGACCAGTGTCTCTCAAAATAAAATCTATTTGAAAGACACTGGTAAGACTGATACTTCAAAAAATAATAATAAATTGGTTAAATCACATTATCTGTATCATTGATGAAGTTTTTCTAAATAACAATCCCATAAATTTGGAAGCATGCATGTATATAAGTAATCCATTTCACGCGGCATTATTATTATTATGGCTTTATACAGTTTAAAATGAAACTAGAAATGTGTCCATAGGACACGGATGCCCCCACACGCCACTGTTCTGTCAATCTTTTGCCTCTAGGTCAAATATTTTTTGGACTACATGTGCCACAAGTTGAAAACTAAAAATCAACAAAGGGCCATAATTCTGTTAAATTTGGTCGCAGCATAATTCCTTCCTTTACTACCATCTACACATTAAGGTTACTAATCCCTGTAAGTTTAAGCAAAATCTGCCATCCGGTTTAAGAGGAGTTACGTTCACAAAATTTCTACATAGTATATAATGAAAAAAACAACAAAGGACCATAATTTTGTTAAATTTGGATTGCAGCAAAAAAATTCCTTCCTTTTACTGCCATCTACACATTAAGGTTGTTCATCCTGGAAGTTTTAAGCAAAATCTGCCATCCGGTTTAAGAGGAGTTGCGTTCACAAAATTTCTACATAGTATTATAGTGAAAAAATCAACAAAGGGCCATAATTCTGTTAAATTTGGTCGCAGCAAAAATTCCTTCCTTTACTAACCATCTACACATTAAGGTTGTTCATCCCTGTAAGTTTAAGCAAAATCTGCCATCCCGTTTAAGAGGAGTTGCGTTCACAAAATTTTCTACATAGTATCTAGTGAAAAAATCAAACAAAGGGCCATAATTCTGTTAAATTTGGTCGCAGCGAAAAATTCCTTCCTTTACTACCATCTACACATTAAGGTTGTTCATCCCTTTGTAAGTTTAAGCAAAAATCTGCCATCCGGTTTAAGAGGAGTTGCGTTCAAAAAAAGATTTCGGGGACGTACGGACGGACGGAACGGACGTACCAAAATTTGATGTTTATGAGGCAAATTCAGCTCATAAACACCACCTGGACCAACGTCCATAAGCAAATAAGGCTTCATAAAAACAAAAAAATAGCTCTTTAATTTTGAATTTTATGAGTTTTTGCTTTCTTTATTTTAAGGTAGCTCGCTACTTTTCCGACCGAAATTTGACAATATCTCAGATCTTGATTATTTCTGGTTATACAGACATGTAGATATGTAAGCTTTACTTCTGCAGCATTATTTTATAAAAAACAGCGTTACTATGACATCAAAGCGCCCTCCTTGGTGGGTGGCGATGAAATTGCGTCTTTTTTTATCAATAAACCGGTTTCTGTTATTATCATTTTTCCCGGGATTTCCTTCATTTTAAATTTTAATAATGTTCAGTAAATGTTTGGTCTTTGTTACGATGTCTTTCTTGAACCATTTGGCTTTAATACTCTGCGATTCTACGTTATTTTCCCACTCACGTTCTTGACGTCCATATTTGATGCCAAATATCGCGCCGAAATCCCGCAATAAAGATTGTGAAATAATAAAAAATCAACACGGTAAAATTTTGCTATAATTTTTTTTTTAAAACATGTTAGTGGAAGTCATTTAAAAGAAAATTTTATTTATGCAATAAAAAATTATGGGGTCAACGCGTAAGATATTTTGCCTATTTACTTATTTTGAAATAATAAAATAAAGGGGTGAGTAAAACGTAATGATTTTTAGGGTTGCACGTTTTCAAATTTTTTTTTTCTCAAGGGAAATTTTCGATAAAAAAATACTGACAGGAATAAAAAATGTGTGAAAAACCATCAAAAACAATATTTATTTAGATAAGTTCCGTAAACATGTTTCTTTTTAAAAGTCCTGTCAGATGCCTGCCATTTCGATGAATATCTTTGATTAATATATACATGTACAACAAATCAGGGTATGACTGTCTGCAAAAATAGTTGGTATCAATCTCTAAAAAAACTGCAACGAATGGATATAAATACCTCGAGGACTGAAAGACAATCAGAATATTGAAAGATATAATTAAAAGGCCACCTAAGTGGAAATAATACAAACATAAATTTTGCAAAGAATGTCAGAAAAAAAAAGAATGAAAAGGCTGGTGCAGTCGCAATGTCATCATGTTTATGTGTATCTCGGTACAACATAAACTTTCATGTTATCATATGTAACGATTTTTTGAATTGTATATATCAGTTATTTAGGAACAGAGGACATTAGATAACATCTATGTCTGGTTGGTAGGAAATATTATCAAATTTACGTTTCAAAAATATATGATCAACTTGGAAGTAGCAACGATTTTGTACGTAAGTCATGATTTTCACTGGGTAGTCTTAATTATATTATAAAAATTTTAGCAGACATTTATACAAAAAATTTTCTACACGTACATAAAAGTTTATTTTATTAACAGGCATCAGTTATTCTATTTTCTCTCGGATCTAAAATACCCTGCACTAAGCGTGAGACTCAGATTTTAAAGCAGGAATCACGCTCTCATGCTATTGGCTTTTAAATTTTCTTCAGGTATTTCACATAATTATAGATATTTCTTTATTTTAACTTTAAACTAGCTGAACTCGCGGTATGCGGTTTACTAGCACATTTTTTGAGGCGACCTGAAGCCGCGATTCAATTTCTTTCGAATTTAGAGCGCGAAAGATCCCCGTTTGATTTATTTGTTAATGTTTCAGGCAAGAAGCGGAGAAATTTTGCAATTATTCAAATTTTACGTTTTCCCTTTATTGAATGCTGAATTATGTAGGTTTTCTCAATTTTGTGTGATTTATGGGTTTGGGAGAAGCTCGTTTTTTGTCTGCCACATAATTGCATGTAATTTGCAGTGTATGTAGAGCCTATGAAAATAATGAAAACTATGCTTTTAAATGTTTATATCTTCTTAATTTTTTTTAATATTGGGTTTTTAACGCCCGCTTTCAAACAGTATTTCAATTAAAGCGGGGGGAATTTTTAAAACGAAACCAGTTGTTTCTCACAGTATCAACTTTGTCTCTTTTGAAAATGAATGACAGCAGTCCGAGGTGGATCTTTGAAACATTTTCATACACAGTAAACAATTTTAAAAGTACAATTACGCAATTCGTGTCTCGAATCCATGCCTTCCGAATTCAGCGTTTAAGACCACTTTACCGATTACAACGTAGCAACAGAAGAATATTCAAAGTAGAAAAAAAATCTGATTATGATTTCCATTAATAGGGGTGAAGTCCATTTATATTGCTAACATCATAAACACGTGTTGTTGGTGTGTGTTTTGAGGTTGATTTTTTTTCTTGAACTCTTTTGAGAAATAAATAATAATACCTTTGAGGGCCGCTATGTTATACTGTACAGTGATGAAAAAACGGTAATGAATCCGAGTTTGAGTAATGGTTATATTGGGTGTTTCACATTCGAGTCTGCAGTTGCGAATTATGCTTATATATATTTGTTTTTATTCAGGTATGATTTTGCTTTCCAAAATTAGTTTATAGTTTGTCACATAAGTGCTCATTTTCTAATTATCATGACATTTTGATTAGATTATAATTATATAATCTATGTATTGCACAGACTTAAAAATGGTAGCCAAAAATTAAAATAAAATAAAGGGTTTTGTTTCTTGTACAGTTTGTTTTTTAAATATTCTTAAAGGGCTCCACTGAGGTTGAAAAGCCAAACACATAACATTTGAATTTCTTACATAAATGAGCTGGGCACTTTAAACAGAAATATATGCAAAGATTGTTGCGAAATATACTCTGAAATAAATTGAAAATCGTATTTTTTATGCTTTTGTTAGCCCGATTTGGATGAAAAGTGTTTTAAACGCTTTTCATTTTTAATAATTATTCTGGAAAAACGAAGCGCGCGAATGCTCTGAAATTTTGCACAAAGATTCGTTGGTCTAAACCTACATCAATTTATCTGGAAAAAAAAATATTTTCAGTTCCATCATGTCAAAAAAAAACCTCAGTGGAGTCCCTTTAACATATTTGAATATTATTTCTGAATTTTATTTATCACTTATTTCGGCACATTTGTATGCATATCTATTTGAATTGTATTTTTTCGATTGTTTTTGACATGGAGGTTCGTCTTGCCTCTATGTGATTTTTATAAAGTGTTTTAAAGGCTGAATGTAACGTAAAAATAATATTCTACGGGTATAAGCTAAGCGACCTAATATTCTTACTTCACTCATACAGCAATATGTGAATCTTATTTTTTGCGCTGAAACTAGTTAATTCATATGACAATATAACCAATTTAACAACATCACATTATAAAATTAGAATTAAAAGATGTATGAGACTGTGTCCTGCAAATTAGAAAAGTATTTAAAAAAGGGATTGTCGGAAATTAAACATTGTAAATGTGCTCATCTAGCGCATGCTTTCAATGAGAAAATAATCAACAATTTAAAAAATATACATTTCATTAAGTCCCTGTGTTGTTTATACTAACTATCGTAATGTTTGACGTTTATTTGGTATTTTATTCTTTGAACTCCAACAACTATTAACGTCACCAAAATCGTAACGTTTCACTCATTCTTTATTTTATTTATAAAACAGTAATAGAAAAATATCTTACGCGTTGACCCTATATTTTTATTGCATAAATGTTTTCCTTCACTATCTCACTACACGCTCTGAAAATTATAGCAAATTCACCGTGTTGAATTTTTTTTATTACACAATCTTTAATGCAATATCGCGCGATATTTGCATCAAATATGGACATCAGAACGTAGAGAAAAAATGACGTAAAATCGCAGATTATTAAGTAAATGTTAAAGAAAGACATCATTACAAAGACATACATTTACTGATCATTATGATATTAAAATGAAGGAAATCGGATGAGAATTGATAAGAACAGACCGGTTTATTGATAAAAAAGACGCAATTTCACCACCACCGATAGAGGGCGCTTTGACGTCATAGTAATGCTGTTTATTTATAAAATAATACTGCTGAAGTAAAGCTCACATATCTATATGTTTGCATACCAAAAATCATCAAGATCTGAGATGTTGTCATATTTCGGTCGGAAAGTAGCGAGCTACCTTAACTACGGAATAAAGCTCATCAAATGTTTGCTCGGACGGACTGACAGACGGACAAGTGCAACGCTATATGCTCCCACATTGTGGGGGCATAAAAACTAAATGATAATGAATTAAATCTCGCACAATTTTTAATGTTAATTTTTATAATCATACAATGGTTTATATTAATTTAGAAACATTCTTACATTCTAAGCATTTTCCTGGATCACACCCACAGTCAGTCTCCGGGTCAAAAATACACAAATGACCCCTTGGACACTAATGAGAAAAACAGAAATCTTAATTTAAAGTTAAAGTTAGCATATTACAGTAATAAAATGCAAAATTAAATGCTACACTCATGGAAGAGTATTTAAGAACAGGTAAAAGTGAAAATAACTTTATATATTGCCATTATTGTGTTTAATTGTATAATCTTAATCAACAATCCGCACGGACGCATGGACATTTCTAATAATATTTTCAATCAAAATAAACCAATTACTAGTGTTTAATGAAACTGTTTAAATTGTTAAACAAATGACATGGAAATCTATTTACAGATAAGAAAAAGTTTACCTCTGATTAGATAAGGAAAAGTTTACCTTGGAATAGATAAAAGATAAGGAAAAGTTTACCTCGGAATAGATAAAAGATAAGGAAAAGTTTACCTCAGAAAAGATAAAAGATAGTGAAAAGTTTACCTCGGAATCAGAATAACAATCTTTATTTCGACCTTTGAACCCTTTTCAGATTTTTGACTCAGGGGTTTGTAACAAAACCCCTTGCCCCTTTAAAAAAACAAACCTTTAAAAAAACAGGGCCAAAAATTTTTTAAAAACAGCATGCTTTCCCGATTCATTGCCCCAAATTTTTTATGGATAATTTTTTTAAAAAAATGATTTAAAGTAAAATATTGCGAGGTGAACAAAGAAAAGTAATTTACACATCTTAGTTAATAGTACATTTTTCTTGGGTTTAATTTTCTTGAAATATTTTTGCTCATCTGGAGGCATGCAGCTTTAAAATATACAGAAAATCAGTAAATTGAGGGGGGTGGGGGGTAAATAGACAATTATGTCAGCCTTGAAAATTGTACAGACTCAATCCTTTATTTATTGTAATTTGACATTTATAAAATTTAAATTGGCTTAAAATTGACGTTTTACATTTTATATTGGGTTAAAATCGCCATTTACATTTTAAATTGGCTTAAAATCGCCGTATACATTTTAAATTGTCTTAAAACCGTTGTTTTACAGTTTAATTAAAGGGCCATATTTATTTATTAAATGTGTGATATTAAATTGGCTTAAAAATCACCTTATTATGTTATATCACATTGATAACGGGAAACATCATGTGGTACAGGAACGTTACATAATTATATAAACGTGTGTAAAATCAAGGAAAAATAATCTTACCTTGAACACAAGAAAACCCATCTCTGCTGAAGTGTTCTGTGTGAAGATATGTTTCAGTAAAAAACTAGACTGGTTTGTGTTACCTAACACGTCGGCATGACAAATAATTCAACAAATGTTGCCAACTATAAAATGGTCTCACAAAATTACGGAATTGCCAATTTCCTCGACCCAATGGCTATTATCACTGTATAATATAAGTAATATAATTAAAATTTGCATAACTGACGAAGAAAATTGAATAAACAAATTATTTTGACCTTATCAATAGAAACAGATGTTTGAAAATTGAGGTGTTTGATTCGGACAAGTCAACAAAACAATATATCTTAAAAAATGATAGACTAGGTAAAACCGGCCCGGTAAAACCCGAGTTTATATATTTTGTGTTGTGTCAAAGTAAGTTTTGCATTATTTTTGCATTTAAGTCCGATTATTAGAAACAAGGCCTTTAAAACATTTGCTTACATTATTTTCGAAGTTTAAGTATAGATTTCTTTGACCCTTAGTCAGTAGGAAATGAATGAAAATTTGGTAGCTTTAAAACTTCAACTCATCCAAACCCCGTTGGTCAACCTCCATTTTTATCAACTGTATAAAGATAATTATTATTCCAGATAAAGTGATGCCCCTTTAACATAATTATGACAAAATTTGATGGGTTTCCTGAACCCATACTCTCTATTTTCTTCAAAAATGAAAGATATCTGAAACAACTAAAGACAAACAATTTTTCAGATATGATTTTCTCTGCTTTTGTTTTTGTTATTTAAAAACTATGGCTCATTCTTACCTCTTCTATTAGCTGGAAATTTCTAGATATTGACCATTCATATCCGATTTTGGCTTAACGTCAGCAATAGCCATAGTATTCCCATTGGAAACACTTACACTATACCATTGAACACACGGTCAGACCCTTTGTATGGTCAGCAAGAAATAAAGAAATTACTTGTCACATTTGCCTCAATACTTGTAGGTGATAGCAAACTTTTGCTAAGAAATTGACCAGTGACCATTTGCTAAGATTTGACTGTATTATTATTTATGGCTAGCCAGTTCACTAAGAACCGGATTTTGTTTTCCGGAACACATGCACGGAGCACCTTTAAGTTTCCCGGCTCATCTTGCTTTCTGGGTCTCTTTATGTAGATGTCAATCTGCGAAGACTTTTTTTTAAACCAATTTGCAGTCAGGTGATAGATCTCACGAGATTATATAGAAAAAGCTCAAAGAACTGATGCGTTTTTTTGTTAAAGTTTGGAAAAGTGGTAAATTTTGTAGTTGACTAAGTATATCAGCAGATTTCTTTTAATAAAACTGAGGGAACATAACAAGTCCAAATAATTGTCATCCAGAACATCGTTTGAATTTTCATAGACATAAAAGAAGAAAAATTTTATAAATCTCTATCAATACTGAGTGTCGAGTGATTTAAAGGTCATTGACTTTTAACCAATTGCCTCTCACCTCTGTGGCTTAAAATTCCGTAAGGCACTTTGGAAACATTCATGCGGGAATCTATCCACGCAACGTCGAAGGAGAGGTCTTCCTCTGCCAGTAAAGCAACAATCAACAGAAGAAAGGCGCATTTCTTAGTGTTAACAAAATTTACATTGAGCATAAGATAACGATTGGAAATTGGAGATAGGAGGTTGGCAACCCAGTGCAGGACCATAATTTACCAGGAGTTTGGTGGAGGGCAAAGTAATGCAATAAAAACCATTTGCCATGTTTGTTTGTTTCATTTTACGCCTTTTTCCAACAGTATTTCAGTCATATAGGCGGGTAGTTTCCTAACCATCGTTCCTGGAGAGTTACACCAGTACTAGACTACCTTCCTCCGCGCTAAACTACCAAAGCATCTCCCGGGATCCAACCCATGCCAGAGAGGTAACTGGATTAGAAGTCATCGACTCTAACCCCTCAACCACGGAGGCTTGCCATGAAACTGGTGGATTGCAAAACAGCACAATATCACAATTGCACTTAAGATGGATAGATGGCAAACCAATACAGTTTTGATAGAAGGTCCACAAGTAACTAACCCAAATATAAAGATTTTCATTTCTTTTTATTTACTTTGATAAACATAAAAAAGTGTAAACAATACAACATAAAGTAATCTAACATATACAATAACAAGTATTGAACTATTGTTTTTGTAATAAATAAGATCTACAAAACAACATATTATATAACATTTGATACAAAAATGTGTCATGATAAAAGTGTAAACTATCACAGGGCACAAATAATGTTGAACATTACAATATAGCAAAGAAATGATGAACATTTGCAATATAGCATATAACAATCTAACAGTTACGAAAATGAGACTCTGTTATAACAAGAGCACACAAAGTAGTGTTAACGCTCGTCTTTCATCTAATAAGCCAACAACTATCACTTATTTTGTAAATATTCAGATTTAAAGGTGAATAACTTATAAAAAGAAGAAATAGATCAATGGTTCTCTCCTGTGAAGAAAATAGTGTGTAAAAGATTTTCATGGATACAGATAACAGGAAAGAAAAGTCGCACTGTACCAGTGTTATTAACGTCTGAAAAAGAAAACAGTATTGAAATGTTGCTTAAAATACAGGCAAAAGACTGGAGTTCATGCAGAAAATGAATAATACCAGTGTTTGTTAGGTAAAACTATGATTCTTTATGTCCATTAAGAAGCACAGATGTACTTAGAAAGTATGCTACTACAGCAAATGTGAAAAAACCAAAGAGTTTCACAATTGGATCTTACATAAACATCTTCAATAGACTTGTATCTTTATGTGTCAGACATCCACTTATGAACTGTATTTCCTTCAGGATTTCTTTTACGGTACCATAGCATTGAGTTAACATTACCGTAGAAGGCTTACATCCTTTTTTCATCTTTATTCAACTATGTAAAGATTAATTGGGAAAATTCACATATCTAATTAATATTAAAGGTTCATACATGTATCAGGTGTCAAAGATTTAAATAAATGAATACAACCTGTATGAGAAAAACATGTGCTAGCTTTGTTTCATTGTATCAGTAGCATTAAATAATTAAACTTTTACTGGATTTATTAATTGTATTTCTATTCTTTCAGGACAATGACTCTAAACATAAATCAAAGTCTACAAAGGCGTGGTTTGAGAAGCAAAATATGACAACCAAACTGATGGATGTACCAGCCTCTTCCCCAGATATAAATCCCATAGAAAATATGAGCCGCGTCACGACAAAACCAACGTAATGCATTTGCGACCAGCATGGATCCAGACCAGCCTGTGCATCCGTGCAGTCTGATCAGGATCCATGCTGTTTGCTTACAAACCCTATTACAAGTAGAGAAACTGATAGCGAACAGCATGGATCCTGATCAGACTGCGCGGATGCGCAGGCTGGTCTGGATCCATGCTGGTCGCAAACACATTACGTTGGTTTTGTCGTGACGCGGCTCATTTATGGTCTGCTCTAAAAGACACATTACACAGGGTTGTGAAACCTAAAACTAAACAGGAACTTGTCATGGGTATAGTAAAGTTTTGGGAAAATCTGGACAGTCAAGCATGTGGCCGCTATATTGACCATATACACCACGTTCTCCCCGAGGTTGTTCTGAACAATGGTGGACCTACCAAGTATTAACATTATGTATGCTAAGATTCAAGAGGATCATCTGTTTTTAGCAGCAGAGAAAATAATGTGCATATCGCTAGAGTGTTTGACACATTGCTATAAGATAATAGTCACTGAACAAAAACATTTGTCATTTTATGTAAATATTTACATATAGCTGATAATTTCTTCTGTAATGCTCGATTCGTCTTATTTATTTACTGGTTGTTTTTGTGTATGTTTATTTTTTGTTGGAAATTTCAAATATAAGAGCAAACAAATAGAACTATCTTTTAAATCAAAACATTCTTTTTTTTTTCCGACTGAAACAATCCACATCTATAACTAGTTTGCCATTGAAAAATAATGATATACATGTACATAAAAAAAATCTATAATTTAATCTGGTCTGATACATCCCATACAAAAGTATAAAGTGTCTAAAAATTAGGTCTATAGAACTATTTGTAAATTTATTAATTCCAGGCTATGTCCTGAGGTTCCGGACAAGTATCCGAGGTTTTATTTCCTATTTATTTTGCTATATTTCCAGATATGTCGGGAAAGAGGAAAGCTGCTTTGTCAACGAAGGCAAAATGTACAGCTTTGTGTTGCTTGGAAGCACCGGTGGCTGGAGGGAGCAGCCCAAACGATGTGCACCACATTAACAAAACAAAGCGCCGGGGCATAACTAATAACTATCCTTCTGTTCCTGAAGTTCCACCTGAAGTAACGGCATCCTCATCAGACGATTCTGATGATTTCAACGATGTCACAATAAATAACATAAACTTGACAGAAAAGGAAGACCAGGGGCTTAGGAAAACAAAAACACAGACCGAGACAAACTCTTCTCGAAAAAAAGGTTCCTTTCTCCAACCAGGCACAGGCACAGTGTGAACACTGACACATCCAGCGGGGAAGATGAAGTAACAGATTCTTCTTCTTCATCAGACAACGATGATAGCCTCTTGGATGGAGTTTTAGCTTAACAGGCTAAAAAACTTAAAGGTGATAAGAGACAGTCGTTGTCCCCTCTAGAATCCCCAATCTCTACTCATGTACCCTATAAGCTCCAAAAGAAAATTTGGAGACATATAAAAATTTGTGGATTTTGGGGCTTTACTGCCTATCACTTTTGGTAATGACCAAGAAGAAACACCATACCAGTTCTCAGTTAACCAAACAAATGGTAATTTCCATCTTGTCCCATCTAAAAAAAAGCAAAAAATCCACAACATTGAGCAGTGGACCACCCCATTTATGCGTTTTGTGGCAATTTATGCCACAAAATACCCTTTAGAAACACAAGCCCTTATGAAATATGGTGAACTGGTAAGGGACTTGGCGTCTAAACATAGTACAAATGCCTGGGCCCGTTACGACTTCCAATTCAGAACCCTTCGAGAACAAGTTCAAATCCCATGGGACCAGTTACACATGGAATTCTGGGTCCGAGCGACAACTGTACCTTCGTCAATAGGTCATCCCTTTCGCCAGTACTGCCGCGTTGGTGGCTTGTACAACAATGCACCCCGTTCTTTTCGCAAATACAAGTCTAACTCATCAGGTGAATTCCTCCCAAACACATGCTGGTCATTTAATAGACGAGGTTTCTGTCCATTGGTCAATTGTTTCCCCCACACATGCGGTTGCTGTCGAGGCCAGCATTCCGCAAAATCTTGTCCCATTGGACAAAAGCAAGAGTCAAGCTCCAGTCAGCTGGCCATAAAACATATTTATACGTAAAAATGAATTTGTTGGGTTATAAGTGCCTGTCAGTGTATAACTTGACAGAATTGACCTTGCTTGTATTGAAAAAAAATATTGCTTTCCACATGCTTGCGGGAGTGGTCATCTTGATTTCCAAGACAGTGTCCATGCAATGGAAACACACTAAGGTTAGACAATTATGTTATCAAAGCTATACTGTAAGGAATCTGACCTTTGTCCATATAGGACTTTTGACCCCTTCAAGACAAAATCATGAAATTTCCTGATACGAGATACTTTGATGTGCAGTAATTTTAGGACAAAATTACTTGCAATATTCTTTTAATTTAGCAGTTATAAATGTAAATCTGTAAAAGCAGTTAGAAATGTGAGTCTGTCTAAATGACTCCTACCTCTACCTTTTTGTTGTTTTTAAGAGCACTCAATGTTGGATACAGATGCGGAATACATATTAAGGATAAGGACAGTGAATATTTACCATCTTCCACATCAGATGAGGACAATGAGTATGTTCAGTCTTCAGACAAGTCAAGTGTAAGATAGCGAAATCGAAATGTCTGAAATTATTGATGTACAAGATGTTGAAACAACTCCCAGTAACATGGAAAAAGAAGAAATGCCTAAGAAAACTGACAGTGCTAAGGTCAATAACCTTGGAAACCGTGTCTGGGATAAAAAAAAAAGAAAACATTGTTGTGTTTACAGTTCTCTTTTTAGTCTTGAAATTTGGAGCTGAAGACTTGGACTATGATGACAATACGTCAGATGTCAGTCTTGAGTATTTTGAGGGTGATAAGTCCGCTGTTAGCTGTTAGCTGCAAAATGGAGAAGGAAGCTGCTGTTAGCGGAATAGTAGCCGAGGGTTGAGTTTCCGTTTCTAGCGGAAAAGATGTTAGAGGGGAAGGGTCCGCTGTTAGAAACATAGTTGAGGTTGGAGTTTGCGAGTTTCTGCTTCTAGCGGAGGAGATGTTAGAGGGGAAGGGTTCGCTGTTAGAAACATAGTTGAGGTTGGAATTTGCGAGTTTCCGCTTCTAGCGGAGGAGATGTTAGGGGAGAAGGGTCCGCTGTTAGAAACATAGTTGAGGTTGGAGTATCCGAGTTTCCGCTTCTAGCGGAGGAGATGTTAGGGGAGAAGGGTCAAATTTTGTAGTTATTACCCTTTGTTCATTTTTAGCTCAACTTTTTTTTTTGAAAATAATATAGATACATCTTAGGTATCCAATTTTGAAATGGATGTAAGTCGTCAACATCCAAGTAAGGTGTGTCTCTATCCCCTATCGTCTGTTGCTCTGGTGTTTCATGACCATGTTTTAATGGATGTCATGAGACTG